CCTTCACCCTCCTCCTCCTCCTCCTCGGTGCCCTCCACCATCTCCTCGATAGGGGCAGCGTTGGGATGACCAACGATGGAAGAGAACAGAGCCAACAAAGTGAAGACTGGCCATCCTCCAACCAAAGCACGTGGAAAGAAGTCGGAAAGCCAAAGCTTTCCAAGCAAAGCAGCCCCCCAAGACCCCTCCACGACCCTCCGTACCTTCTGCTCCTCCACCGCCTCCTCGATGGGGACGGCGGCGTGCAGGCGGTGCGCCTGGGACTCCCTGCACACCAGGCAGATGGGAGCCTGGTCCTCCTCGCAGAACAGCTTCAGGACCTCGCGGTGCCTCTCGCAGAGCCTCTCCCCAGCGCCGGGGGCCCTCAGGCTCAGCCTTTTGGCAATCTCGATGATCTTGGCCAGCTCGCGGTTGGGCCGCAGGTTTGGCTGCGCTGCCGTCGCCTTGCAGCGAGGGCAGGGGAAGGTTTGCTCCTCTTCCTCCCAGCAGCGGGTGATGCACGCCCTGCAGAAGTTGTGCCCGCAGTGGATGGAGACGGGATCTTGGAAGAAGCCCAAGCAGAGGGAGCAGGAAGCCTCGTCCTGGAAGCTCTCAGCTGGGTTATCTTCATCCATAGCGGTGACAGCGATAAATGACAGAGCAGCTTTCGTTTTCTGCTCGGTCTGTTGCCCTTCCTGCAGGTGCTGAGGTGAAAGGGAGCAGCGAAAATAAAACTGCCTTAATTACTTCCTGCCTCGTTAAGAGCGAGGCAGGACAAACACCCTTCAAGACCCAGAGGGATGGAAAGGTAACTCTATTTCCACCCAGGCCGTTCCCCTTCCTGCACGTGGAGGGAGAGGGAGTTTCGTCGCAGGGAAAATAAACAGCCTTAATTACTTCCTGCCTCGTTAAGAGCTGCAGACCTCTGCAGGGCACCCCCTAAATCAAACACCAAGGGAAACGGATGGATGACCCCAACCCCATTCTTCCCTATGGGGCTCAGCCCCCGGCAATCCGCCTGCACTGCTCGTTAATAAAGGCACTTTTACAGCACTAATTAATTAGCAATGCAGCTTGACCAGCCCCCCCCTCTCAGCACCAAAACCTCCCCTTGTTTCCTCACTTCTTTTCCATTCGTTGCTCCTGTTTCTGCGCTCACCCCGCAGCTCTACTTTCAATTCTGCTTTTAATCAGCTTTCTGATTTTGTTTTTCACGGCTCAGCACTGAGCCGAGCAGCAGCAGCCAATTACAGCTTATCTTTAATCGCATCCTGTTGCCAAAAGCTTTTGCTCTGCTCGCTCTGCAAAGCCCCCCGCTGCGCCCAGCCCCAAAAACAGCCGGTTTCTCCCCCAAAATGTGGCTTCAGAAATACTGAAAATGGTTTTAAAAATACCACAAGCTGTCCTGGAGCGTAATTCTTCACCCCACTGAATGAGAACCCCTCAATTTGCTCCATCCCACAGCCCACCGCCCTGCAGCGCATGCAAAGGTTGCATCCTGCACGCAAATCAAGCGGTGCATGCTTGCACGGGGACAAAGCATCTCCTGAGAGCTGCCCTAAACAACACATTTGCTGTTATCCGTGCGTGGCGACCCTCAGCGGCTGCAGCTTTTGGGTGCAGGACACTCAGAAAGAAACCAGTGGGACGTTGATGTCCTCCAAACCCAACGACGCTGCTTTGCTTTGCTTTGCTTTGCTTTGCTTTGCTTTGCTTGGCCCCAAAGGGCCTCAATGGCCCCACCTGCACCCCACACGCGCCCCGTGGCCATGGGAATCTCTTTTTGTCCAGCGCTGAAAGGTTTGGGGCCTCTTGGAGGGGCATCCGTGCGTGGCTATGGGTTTTCTGATCCCACCCCGTGGCCTGGCTTCCCGATCCCATTGCCCTCCTAGGGGCGTTTTGGGGGGAATTCGGTGGAGATTTGGAGCAGTGTGGAGGAAATTGGGGTTTCTGGGGGCTGCCTGAGCCCATTTATTTGCCCATATATGCAGCCCATATATGCCTGCAGGAAAATGTGATGGAGAGAAAATGTGGTTGAGGGAATACCTTCCCGAAGGGAGAGACTGAGGAGAGGGCGAAGCATCCATCGCCACATCCAGCAGATGTTAAACAGTAAGAAGCCACAGAGAAGGGAACCATTTCTTGTAACATCAGCCCTAAACCTTAAAGCTTAAGGTGGCTTTGAGCGAGCCCAGTTCAGAAATTTTGGTGCTTTATTATTATTATTATTATTATTATTATTATTATTATTCCTATATTGCTGTAAACTGAGGTGGGGCACCATTAAAAATAACGGCATCCTCCTGCAAACGAGCCCCGAGCTCACAGCGAGCAGCACCCGATGGTGCAGTGACAAAGCGTGGGCTCGGGGGGGGGGCAGGAGGCTCTGCTGTGGGGCAGAGGCGTTTTCTCAACCCCTTCCTGCAAGAAGAGCACGAACGTGACTAATTAAGGCGGACTTTTTAAATGGGTTTCTGCTTAATTTCTTCAAGGCGTGGATGTTTTGGGTACCAGAGCAGCGATGTTCAGGGCTTGAGCGCCTCTTTATAGGGGCTGCAACCAGCGAGGCTCGGACCGTCGGCAGTTGTCCCCCATCCCAGCTCAGACCCCTCCCCAAATCCCCTTTGCTCCCACCCGTGCTGTGGGTTCTGTCCCCTTTCTTCCCCCCCTGCCGTGCCATAGGGACCAGGCGTTTTGGTGCTGATCTGTAGGGCGCAGAGACCGCTATGGGGGATGCAATATGCAATCATTAACCCTCACCCTACCCCAAGCCCCCGCCCCAAATCCCTTTTGTTCTCACCCCCGTTCTTCCCCCCCTACCAACCCGTGTTTAGGGCACACTTATATGGGATGCAGCCATCGAGCCATCACCACCTCTCCCCCACCCCGAGCTCAGCCCTGGCTCTGCCCACCCCAAACCCTCGGAGGGGGCGGCGGTGGGAAGGGAAACGCCTTCCACAAAGAAAATGAAACTCTCAGTGCTCCGCGGGGCCCCATGGCTGCACCCAGCCCCGCGTCCCACCTCCCCAGCGAAGCCTCCTGCCCCATTTGCCTGGAATATTTCCGAGATCCCGTCTCCATCCACTGCGGCCACAATTTCTGCAGGGACTGCATCGCTCGGTGCTGGGAACGGAGCACGGGGGATTTCTGCTGCCCGCAATGCAAGGAGACGGCGGCGGAGAGGATTTTATGTCCCAACAGGGAGCTGGCGAGGATGCTGGAGATCGCCAGGAGGCTGAGCCTGCAGGCAGCCCAGAGGGACGCTGCGGGGCAGGAAGGGTGCAAAAAGCACCGGGAACCTCTGAGCATTTATTGCAAAGACGATGAAGCTTTCATCTGCCTCATCTGCCGCGAGTCGCGGCTGCACCGGGCTCATGTGATGCTTCCTGTGCAGGATGCTGTCCAGGAATACAAGGTAAAGGCTTCATTTGTTGGCTGGGGTTTTCCCATCTCACCGCGATGCTCCCTCCGTGGCACTTCGCTATGGGGCTGCAATGCGTCCCACCCCACAGCCAGGGCTGTAAATGGGGGGCAGGAGCGCCGTCCCCCTTCTCTGGGTGCTCAGAACCCCCACAGCAAAGCAGGCTGTTTCACTGTGATGCTTCTGCTGCTTCACTTCCCACGCTGGGTCCTGACCTGAAGGTTTCTGCAAGCCAAAGGGCTTCGGCCCCTCCTCCCCATTGCAGAACTCGATCTGGTTCATCCGTGCATTCCTGATGGCTAAAGGTAAAAAACACAGCAATAAAGAGGGTGCTTTCAATGAGTCGGATCCAAAAGCTTTGTGGCATTGATCACCATTTAAACCATTCCCCTGCCCTGAGCTCCTGGACCAAGAGGCTGAAGGGAAGCCCTGGAGCTGACCACCATGCAGACCCCCTCCCAAATCAATGCGTTTCGGGCGCTCTGCCATCTCCCAGCTCCTGGAATTGCATTTTCTTCCCCCAGGAACAAATCCAATCCCATCTGCAAGGGCTGAAGGAAGGCAGAGACAAACTCCTGGGTTTCCGAGAGGCTGAGATGAGGAGAAATTGGGAGTATTTGGTGAGCGTCTGTTTAACTGTCATGAGCAGGATGGGGGTCTGGGTGGGTTCCTTTGGCTTTAGGGGTAGGGCTTTAGGGTCAAGGGATGGAAAGAGCAAAATCTGATTGGGAAGGGATGCAGCTGGGGGATGCAAAGCAAAAATTCATTGGGGAGAGACTCAACGGGGGGATGCAAAGCAAAATCTCACAGCCATGAAGCACCGTTGGCTCGGGGGTGCATTGCAATCCATCGGGACATCCCTGCTGTGGAATACCTTGGGATAATCGGGTGCTGCCTCTTCCTGGGGGTGCAGGACTCGCTGGCTCCTCCCGTGACCCCTTGTCCTTGCAGGAGAAAACCAGCACCGAACGGCAGAAGGTTTTGGGTGTATTTGAAGGGCTGCGGCTCTTCCTGGAGGAGCAGGAACGTCACCTGCTGGCCCAGCTGGAAAACACGGAGAGGGACGTGGAGAAAACGCAGGAAGAGAACGTCACCATCCTGACCAAGGAGATCTCCCAGCTGGATGCCATCATCCAGGAGACGGAGGAGAAGTGCCAGCAACCAGCAAGCCAGTTTCTGCAGGTGAGGAGGTGGAGAATGCCACGGTTGGCATCACTGTGTTTTATGGCTGTGGGCGATGGCCGACAGAAAGCTGTTGGGTTTTCAGTAGGGATTTTGCTGCCAAAATCCTTTCACTGAGTTTCTTTTCCCCTTTCTCCTTTCCAGGACATCAGGAGCACCGTGAGCAGGTGAAGGGAGCTTCCTGAGCCCACCTCGTTCAATGGAAGCAAATGGGATGGAGGGGAGGGAGAGATGGCATGAAGTGGGAATGGCTCCAGGCTGGCAGCTTCCTTCTTTCCTCTTCCTCCAGGTTGGGAAAGGAATACTTCCAGCTGCCCGTGTTGCTTCTTCCAGACCTGGAAAGGAAACTCAGTCACTTCAGGGAGAAAAATAATGCATTAGAGGAGATTCTGAAGAACTTCAAAGGTATTGAGCATGGGCTGGAGTGGGGAGCATCAGCTGTGCTTGTTGGAATCAGAACCATAATGGACTTCTTGAAGAGAAAAGAATTTCTGGGCAAAATAAGAGATTCTGGGCAAAAAACACTGAGATTATGATGTTAAATCAGACATTTCTTTTCTTCTCCCCTTTCTTGTAGAAATCCTGATGTTTGAGCTGCCTGAAAAGAGTAAGTCCATCTTCTGGAGCAGCAGGGATTGAGAGAAGCCAAAGGAAGGATGAGAGCAGCATGGGATGGGCTGTGTTCTGGGGGAAGATCTGGGGAAGATATTTCTGTCTGAACAAAGCAATAAAATAGAGGGGGAAAACATCTCAAGGAGTCAGGGAAGCCTTTGCCCAAAGAGGGTCCCAAAGAGGGTCCCAAGGAAGGAAGAGCATCCCAAAGAGAGCAGAGCTTCCCAAGGGATGGGGTGAACTCCAGCGGACCTCCCTGCTCATCCCAGCAACCCTGGGCTCATGGGACACGCTCTGGCTTCCTTTGGCAGTGAGTGTGACCCTGGATCCATCCACAGCTCACCCCCAGCTCTCCGTGTCAGCGGATGGGAGCAGCGTGAGGTGGGAAGATGCCCAACGGGATGCAGCCAAGGAGGAATTTGGGAGCGATCCCTTCGTGCTGGGCCGTGAGGGCGTCACGTCGGGGAGATGCTGCTGGGAGGTGGAAGTGGCACCCGAAGGCTCCTGGGCTGTTGGTGCGGCCAAAGAGTCCCTAAAGAGGAGGGAAGAGAGCGGTGCGAGCCCTGAGGTTGAGCTCTGGTCTATGGGTTTCTGTGAGGGACAGTTTTGGGCTCTGTCCTCCTTTGAGCGCATGACGTTGCCCCAAATCCAGGTTCCCAAAAGGGTTCGGGTCGCCCTGGACTACGAGAGGGGCCAGGTGGCATTTTTTGATGCTGATAAGAGGGCTCTGATCTTCATTTTCCCATCGGCCGCATTCCAAGGGGAGAGCATCCACCCCTGGTTCCTGGTGTGGGGCGAGGGCTCTCAGATCACGCTGTGTCCCTGAAGCTCCCCTGCACCCAAACACCAACATTACGACCCCAACATCCCTGTCCCAGCGCTTTGGGGGGCTCCTATTGAATTCCTCGTTGGATTTTCTGCCTTCTCTTCCCATTCCCAGCCACCCCAAAAGCTTAAGCACCTTCAGGTCAGGGTTCAGAATTACCAGTGCCAGTTTTGGGGTTTCATTAGCAAACAGAGACCCTTTTACCCCATCTTGCATCACTCGGATTCTCCAATCTTACGGTTTTAGATGAAATAAAAAGGTTTGTATGTCATAAAGTTCTTCCGTGCCTGTTTATTCACTGGATGCCAGGTTCATGGGGATTAAGGGGAGGCCAACGGGTTCTCTTACGCATAGAGGTGCAACCAGATGGGGAGAGACAGAAATCTTTAATCTTTCTGATCCACCAGATGTTCAGAACGACCCTGAGGATGCGGGAAATAAATCTGAAGGGTTTGTTGGCCCAAATCCCAAGGCTTTGGGATGAGTAAATCCCATTCCTGGTGCCTGCACAACGTTGGCCGTGTTGGAGCCCAGAAAGACCCATTCAAGTGGGTCACCCCTGAAAGCTGCCTACTGTATTCTGCTGTCTATTGGCAGAGAGAAAGACACAGAGGGGAAAATCAAGTGCTTTATTAAGAGTCATTGTACACTCTGAGGCTTCAAACACCAAATCTTCATGAAGGTGGACCACTTGATTTGAAGGTGACCATCTCAGGTCGGGGACAGCAGTACCTGGTCAGGCAAACCCTGGGGAAATCCGCCTTCCTGCTGCTCTGTTGGCTGGGATTTTCCCTCCTGACCATTCTTTCCTGCATTCTAATCACCCAGCGCAGCACTTTTTCCCTTCTGTTGCCCCAATTTTCTCTTGCTCAGCACTTCTTGGTGATATCACATCAGTCAGTGTCATACCGGTGCGATGCCACGGCAGTGGGTTCGTGGGGATGAAGGATGCACAAAAACCCAGCTCCTCATCTCATCTTCTCCCCATGGGATGGGAAGGGAAGGGGCCGCCCCCTGAGGCTGTAGGATGTGGGGTGACCCTCGTCTGTGTCTCAGGGGCAAAGCCTGAGCTGGGACCTGACCCCCACCACCCACAGCCACGGACGGACCCCCTCCCCAGCGAAAGACGCGTGGGAAAAGACAAAGATGAGCCCCCCTTCGTCGGCGTCAAAAAACGCCACCGTCCCTCCGGCGTAGTCCAAGTGGATGCTGACCTTCCTGGGCACCCAGCGCAGTGCTAACAGGGTCACCTTGTGGGTGGTGAGAGCCCGGATCTGTCCCCCCCATTTCTCCACCCCCCAAATCCCCCCTTTGGGACAGAGGCTCAGTTGACCTTTTCGTGGGATGGATTCTCGAGCCACGCCGACGGCCCAGTCCCCTTCGTCCCCCACTTCCACCTCCCAGCAGTGACGGCCGGAGGAGAAGCTTGGGTGGCCCAAAACAAAGGGCCAGTAGGCAAATCTTTCGGGGTTATCGGGGAGGTCCTGCTGTCCCGCCCCACGTTTCACACTCTTCCTGTCTTCGGAGAGGACGAGGTCGGGGTGAGCGGTGTCGGGGTCCAGGGTGATGCTGGCTGTGGGGTGTAAGAGGAGGGGGAGGTTTTGGGGGTCCTCCGTGCTGAAGCCACCAAGGATGGGGAGAGGTTTGGATCTAAAGCAAGGTTTGGATCTTCGGAGAGGGTTGGCACTAAATGGGTTGCATTTGCTCCAGCTGGCCCCACTGGAGGAGGGTTGTAGGACGGGACCGTCCCTCCCAACCTCAACCGTTCTGTGGGGCCGTGGGTTGGCATCAGGAGGGTAAAAAACCCCAAAGAAAGAAGTAAAAAGACGAAAGGTGGAGACCCCTCCCACGTTCCATATGACAATAAAAGAGTGTTTTGAGCCCCTGAAATGACCAGAAATGAAAGGTGTTGCTGCAGACTTCCAGCTCCAAAAGAAACGGTGGGGGGAGAAAAAATGAAAGGAAGGGGATCTGTGGGATGTTACCCAGCACAGCCTGCAGTGCTTTATCTCCTAGGCCAACCCAGACCTGTTCAGCCAACCCCCCCCCCCCCAAAAAAAAAAGAGCTGAAATCTGAAGGCAGGGATAATGAATGAAGTCAACCCGCCCGCCCTATTTGCTGATGGGAAACCATCAAGGCGAGGGATCTGCCCTGGGGCCATCATCCCAAATTACAGCCAGGCTCGGCCTGCAGGGTGAGGAAAACTCGTTTGGTTGCCCTGATTTTGTGAGTTCCTCCCTCAGCCTCCATTTCTGCCCGTTTGGGTTCAGCCCGTGGGTCCAGGCGCGTCTCCATCCGACAGGTAACGCGGCTTTGGGCTCCCATGCTGGGCAAAAAAGCACTTTTAGGAAAGGCAAAGCTGGAGGGGAGCAAAGCCAGAGAGCTTCACCCGTGAGCACTTCTAAGAATCACAGCAAAACGTGTAATTGAGAGAGTGGCAAACGAGGCATTGAGTCCTCCGGGGCTCAACCACTCGTTTCTCCTGACTGGGGGTAACCCGCTGCTCTTCCATCTCTCTGCTTCATTCTGCTGTGTCCAAAACGAGCTGGTTTTCACCAAAATATCACCTTTTCCCACCCGAAACCTTTCTGAGTACCTTGAAGCTTCTTGAGGTGTTCCTTCAGAGCTCCGTTCCTCCATGAGAAATGGCTCAGCCTCTCTTCTGGCCCCGCTGGCAGCTGGAAGGTCACCTTTCCGCACCTGGGGGAAGGTGGGAAATGGAAATAATAAATCATAATATAATAATATAATATAATAACATTATAAAATAATAAAATCGGAGCATTTTTTTTCAGGGTGGTTCCATCACAGAGGACCATGCAGGAAATCCGATGTCATGAGGGACCGGGGGATGGAGATGCTTCCCTCCTTGGCAACCCAAACCTCGCCAGGATGAAGGCTGAGCATTTCTACTTGAAATAATGACCTAATTAATTGTTTTTTTCTTGGAGACCTGCTTGGGTGGAATGGGCGAGAGAAAAGCTTGGAGACATTGCAGGGAATTAAAACGAGCCTTTGCCACGCGGAGGCTCAGTTTTGAGATGGAGGCCCCTCTGATCATTACATCCCTGGAATCACCAAGGAGGTAAAGGCGGAAAGCAGCACGCAGAGGCCAAAATACCCCAAATACCCCCCAGATCTCACAGTTCCCCCGGAGCAGAGGAGCCTTCGCTGATGAGCTTCCTTCCCTACGGTCACCACCGCTCGATGCAAAGCTCACAGAGCAGCTTTTCAGAGGGGCCACGTACCTGGTGGAGGGGCTTTTCACATCCTGGGGACAGAAGACAGGAAGGGGAGAGGGAACTCAGGCCAGCGCACGACCCGTTTTGCCTTTAAAGCATGGAAAATGGAGCTTTCGAGTGAGGGTGGAGCTCTGGGGTCTTCCAAGCTGCGCCCCATTTTGTCCTTAAGTCATAAAATAACTGTTTGAGCAGAGATGGATCTCTCTGCTCTTCCTCCGTGAGGAAGGTGAACAGCCAGGAGCACCCATGCGCCGCAATGGATCCTGCAGATCCACCCCACTTTTATCTCCCAACCCAGCCGTGGCTTTTCCCCTTTTAAAACGGACCCCCACGAGGATCTTCCACACCAAAAATACTGGGAGGAGAGGAGAAAATGATGGGAGGAAGAGGAGGCTGCAGACCCCCGTCTCCTCATTGCAGTGGGGGCTTCGGGCTGATGGAACGGAGTAAAATAGGAGGAAAACACCTGACGGAGCCACCAGCCCGGGGTGGGGAGGGCATCCCTAAAGGATTTTTCCCCTTGAAAGGAGCTTCCCTGGAGGAATTCGCTCACCGAATGCTGACTCTTCTCTCCCTGTGGTTTCGTTTCCTGCTGGGAAATCTCCTCCGAGAGCTTGGCGGTGTTTTTCTGCCTCTTCTCGATCTCATTTTTCAGGTCTTCCAGCTGCCCAGAGCAAGAAGAGCTCCGTGTTTTCCTGCTGAGCGCTCCCTGCTGGGGCCCAGCTTTCCTTCTGATGCAAGAAGTGGAACACAAAGAGCAGTGGGGCTGGAAATACCATGGGGGGGCTCATGGGTGGGCATCACCCACCGGAGGAGCTCAATGGTGAGCTGGAACCCTTACTGAATTGTGTTGAATTTGGGGGGCAGGGGAGGGAAGAAACGAAACCCAAAAAGTCATAAACAGATGGGCACGAATTTGGGGCAGAAAGGCGAGGGTCCCAAAGGCACAGGAGGCAAAAAGGATGGAGAGAAATGAGGCTACGGACGACGCAGCGCTGACACCTACCAGATCCTCCAGGTTTGGGCACTCCAGGGCGCTCTTCTTCCTCACAGCCCTTCTCTCTCCTCCTTTGGGAAGCCTAACATCCCTCTGGATTTCTTCCCTGGTGAACCTACAGAACCTGTTGTTTTCAGCCCTTTGATGGGGTTTGGGGTTTTCCCTTCCTGTTCCTTCCCATTCCGGGGTAGAGCTGCGGGATGGATGGGTTGAGCCCGCAGGTCTGCTCCTGGTGGCACCCTGGGCTGGGAGCTCTGGGTTTCTCCTGTGTCTCTTCCCCAGTTTCTTGTCCTGGGGAGATGCTGAGCGACGTTGCCTTGCAGTTTTGTCGGCTTCCTTTTAGGATAAAGCCGTCGGGAGTGGGGTTACGTAGGGAAACCATAAGGAAATAGGGGAGGAAACGTGCAGGCAGATCCTTGCAGGGATGTGGAGGAGCACAAGGTTCTGTCTGTGGGGCTCAGCCTCTCTCTTGCAGCCCAGCACCGACTCAGAGCGCTCACAGTCCTGGCTCTGAGCTCTTGAGGACACATTTCCAGCCATTTCCACCCCGCTGTCCTTGTGCTGAGCCCCACGGCTAAGTACAAAAACAGAATAAATCCATGCATTACGTATACACTTAATTTTTGCATGGCAACCACTGAGACCCAACTGAAGGAGACGACTGCCATTCACTCAGGCAGGTTTGCAGGGGCGAAATCCACTTCCAGCAAACCCTTCCCATTGGGAAGAGCTGCAGGGATGGCACTTGTGGGAGCTGAGGGAGCAGAAGCAAACTCCCTGCAACCGCAACCCCTGGGGCACAGAGCCTTTCATCCCAAAGCAAGGCTCCCATCTTAGATGGGGCAAATGAGTTTCGTCGCGTCCTGAAAAGCACTGATTGCAGAGCCTGGAAAACCAGCTGGGCTGGAGAAACATCTGCATTGCAGATCTATGGAGGAGAATTGACCCTGGTGGGAGCATTTGGCAGCAATGCATTGCACTGAGGAAAAATACCAACGCAGCAAAGAGCCGTGCTGAAACACCAGCTGTAGGTTTGACCTTTGGGGATGGTGAGGCTGGGCTTCGTCGTGGGATGCACACTCATATCGCATCTGCTATTCTGAGCCCTGATGTCGCCCGCTCCCTCCCACTCTCTTTTTGTTCCTCTTTTTTGGTTCCACAATCACCAACCTGTGTTCGTTTTGGTGCTGCCTCTTCCTCTTTTGTGCTTTCTCAGAAGAAAGCAGGGTTTTTGAGGGAATCCGTGCAGGTGAGTCCTCACCCTGAGCAGCTCCCCTTCGCTTTGCTGGCCCAACGCTGACCCGGAGCCGAGCACCCAAAGCCAACCCAGAGCCGTGCACCCGTAGTGAGGCAGAAAGGAGTGTGCAGAACGGACTTTTAATTAAAATTAACTATCAGGAACGTAGGCAGAGACCAGCTCCCCACACCAGGCATTGCTATTTGCAGCGAAAGGCCGCATCCCTTTGCAGAACACCCCGGATCGGCCCCGCCATGGATGTCAGATAGGAAACAGACAGATGTATGCATTTCCTCCCAGCTCTTTGTTGCTCTCTGGTGGTTTCTGCAGAGGGACCAACCCAGGGCTCCCCGTGGGGCGCGGAGCAGCCGGTCCCCTTGGCAGGATGCTCCAAGCGAGCGCAGCACGCATCCCACCCGACGTCCCTTTCACTGACGGGCATCTCAAGGACAGATCTTCAGTGGAGACCTGAACCCGACCCAGTCCAGATGGGACATCAGCTGCCCGCTCGTGGGCTGCTCCTCCGAAGGGGAATTTTGGGTGATTTCTTGCAGGCGAGCCCCCATCCCTATCTTGAACCAAGGGAGGACCTTCTCCCCGTTGAACGAAGCCCTGGTGTACACCAAGATGGGAGTGTCGTCATCCGAGCTGAAAAACGCCACCCGACCCCCTTCGTAGTCCAGGGAGACCCGAATCCTTCTGGGCAGTGCATTCAGACGTAGGTTGGCACGGGGGGACGTGAGGGAGTGATAGGCCTCCAGAGCCCAGACCCCTTCTTTGGGGCTGAAGCTCATGGGTCCCTTCCTCTTCATGGAAGCTCGGGCCACCCCAAGGGCCCAAACCCCCCCCTGTCCCACCTCCACCTCCCAGAAGTGCCTCCCCGAGGTGAAGCCCTGGCAGCCCAACACGCAGGGCTCGAAGCTGAACCTCTCGGGGTTCTCGGGGAGCTCCTGTGGCATCAGTTGACCCCGGGCTTGTTTTCGGTCCTCGGAGAGGTGGAGGTTGGGGTGAGCGGTGGTGGGGTCCATGGTGATGTTGGCTGTGGGACAAGAGGGGTAATGGAGATAGGATTTAGGCTTGGGGAGAGCTGCTGAGGTTCCTCTTCCTTCCACCCTTTTCTCCGTGCACTTTTGGACCTGGGTTGGTGGTTGGGTTGGGCGGCCTTTGAGGGTCTTCTCCAACATCTGTGATTCTATGGGGTGTGTGGGGCTGCTACCAACCTCGGTGTCCCCCAGTAGAGACATGTGGGGAGAGGAGAAGAGAGGCAGGAGAACGGGGAGAGGACAAATTTTAAGGCAGCATAAGGAGGGGAGGGCAAAGACGTGGGGAAGGGACAGCTCACATTCATGGGGGGGAAGGGGAAGCACAAACACTCTCTGGTTTTGCCTTGAATCTGTTTTTTGGCTCTGCGGGACCACCAGCATGAGGACCCTGCCCTCATTCCCTCCCTTCCCTCTGGGATTGCCTTGTTTTTTTCCCATCCACACGCCAAGAAAACCGCCCTCCCACCCCATAGCCACCACTGCGGACGTACCTGGCTCTTGCAGTTGAAACATCAGGCTGTCTGAAAAGGAAAATAAAAGCACAACATCAGGTTTATGCTTCAGGAAAAGGGGCTGGGAGATGGGGAAGGGAAACCATGGGGGTCTGGGGGCTTCGCAATGCAAAAGCTTCGGGTTTATTGCAAGACCCCCGTGATCCTCCTAAACCTGGACGAGACCCCAGCCCAACTGGGTACCTTGGCACTTCCTCAGCGTGCATCTCACCAGGACGTTCTTGTGAAGAAAGTCCTCCAATCTTCTTTCCAGAGTGGGGGAAATCTCTGCCGGGGGGCTGAACTTCATCACCTCACAGCTGCAAAGAGGGGAAGGATGGGGATGAGGGGAACGTTGTGTTTGTTGGCCGGTTGTTTGTTTTATTCCCAACAGGAGAAGCCATGGGATGAGGATGTTTGCCTGGGGACAAAATCCCTTTCTCCCCTGCCTCAAAGTCCTCCCCCCCGGCGCCATCCAAAAACCAGGGTGAAAATGGGAAGGAGCCACATTACCTATTCAGGAGCCTCCTGATGTCCTAAAGGTGGGAGGAGAGAGGAGAGATGGATCAGAGGAGCACCGAGGGCTCCTCCTTCACACTGCAAAGCACAGCAAAGACCACCCTGCCCACGGCGTAATCCCCCCAGCAGCAACACGGGGAGCTCCCACGGGGCTGAGTCTGGGCTCTCAGGGTTTGCGCCGTCCCCCCGTTTCCCACCATCTCTTCGGGTTCTCACCAGCAGGAATTTGCTGTCGGGCTGCTGGAATTTGCCCTCCATCTCCCAGATCAGGGTGTCGAGGTGGGACATCTCCTCCAACACCTTGGTCACCGCGTCCTCCTGCACTTTGGCGATGGCTCTGTCCAGGTCTGCCAGCTGGACCAGCAGGAAACGCTCCTTCTCCTTCAGAAATCGCTGCAACTGCTCGAATTCACACACTACCCTCTTCCCTTCCTTCTTGGTTTTCTCCTGTTGGGATGAGAAAGAAAGCCAATGGGAAGGAATGGGGGCAGGAGGACCCCCCTGGGGTCTCAGGACGCCGTGTCCTGGGGGATGTCCAACCAAATCCAATGGGAATTTACAACCAGTGCCAGTGGGAACTGAACACCAAAAAGCCAAAGATCGTCTCGCTGGGGATTTGGGGAGCAGCGGGGATTTTTCAGGAAGTTTATCCCAAAAGCAAAACCAAAGGAGGGGTGGGAGCTGAGTCCTGTAAGGGGGATATTTACAGAGTTTGGGAGGATCTGCAGCGTTATCTCCTTAACACAGGGGATGCTGTGTGACCCTGGCTGATAAACACAGGCTTGGCACGTTCCCAGCCCAGCTGCGAGCCAAAAACGCATAAATGCCCCCAAAATACATCAACACAAACAGGGCAGGGAGGAGGGGAAGGCAGAAACCACCCCTGCTGCACCCACCAAATACAAGCCCGTCCTTCCACCAGTCTTTCTGCTTTCCAGGTATTTTTCCCTCTCCTCCTTTGAAGCCTGGAGGCGAGCCTGGATTTCTTCCTGTGCCAAAAGAAGACAGGAGGAGAACCTGTTTTCCCACTCTGTCGGATGGGAGAGGATTTGCTGAAGCCTGGAATCCTATGCAAGGTGCAGAGCTGGGCAGAGGGAAGCTTTGTGTGCTGCTCTGGAGCTCTGTGCAAGCTGGAAGTATTTTGCAGAGGGAACCGGGGGAGCAAAAGGGAGGGAAATGTGAAGAATGTAGAGAAAAATGCTGCGAAAGAGCAACAGAAAATCAGCACTGGCAGCTGCGCAAGGAGGCGTGGAAGGGCAAGATAAGCACACGGTGAGATTTCCCTCACAAACACCCCAAAACAGCAGCTCTGGGGTGTGTGTCTGTATTTAAGAGCTCTCAGTGGAGTGCTTTTATGCAAGGCTGCGGTCAAAGAGCAAAGCACCAAAGGAAAGAGAGGCTGGGAAGGCTGCAAAGAGCGGACGGAGTTGGTCCCGAATTGCAAAGGGGGAGGATGGGGGGCAGCACCAAGCAAAGGGTCGCGTGGGGGCGCCCATAGGGATGCGCTGCGCTGGAGGCTCGGGGTTTTTGGGGACCATACCTTGTACTCCTGGGCCGCCTGGTGGGCAGGGAGCACAGTGTGGCAGCGGTGAGCCTGGGACGCGTCGCACTGCGCGCAGATGGGCTCTTGGTCCTCTTTGCAGAAGAGCTTGAGAGCCTCGCAGTGCTGCTTGCACCAAGTCGAGGAATGCAAGCTCAGCTGCCGGGCGATGCCGGCGATATTTGCCAGCTCTCTGCTGGGGCGGAAATTTTTGTGCAACGTCGTTTTCCTGCATTGTGGACAGGGGAAATTACCCTCCAGCCCTTCCCAGCAGCGGGAGATGCAAACCCGGCAGAAATTGTGGCCGCAGGGGATGGAGACGGGATCCTGGAAGTAACCCAAGCAGATGGAGCAGGAGGCTTCGCTCTGCAGGCTGTCCAAGGGGCTCTGCGTGGCCATGGGCTTCCTGCTGGGTTCCGATCCGCAGAGGGAATAAAAGGCCTTTCCTCCTCCTTATCTCCTCGCTGATAGGGGAAATCCGGCCCCGAAGGCTGAGCCTGAGCCAAGTGGGGCTGGGAGATCTCAGCCCATAAGGGGATGCTGGTAGGACCGGGAGCAGCTTGCGGATCCCCAGCATAAGACTGCCAAACTGGGCGGATCTGGGGAAAACTCGGAGGAAAACTCAGATTTTATCCCCTCCTCAAGCAGCAAAGAGGGCGGGGAAGGGAATTTCTCCTCTCTATGCAATTATCGTAGGGAGCTTCAAAAGAAAACTCATCGAGGTCTCCTTGTTGGGCTGGAATATAGACGAACATTGGAATAAAAACAGAAATGCGCTGAAACATAGAAATGTATTGAGATACAACGTGCACTGCACGCTGCTGCGTTGGATGCGACTCTGCTTAACTGAACGGAATTACGTGGATTTGGAATCAGGGAATTTGAGCAAAAATTAAAGCGCCCAACGTGGGGCTCGAACCCACGACCCTGAGATTAAGAGTCTCATGCTCTACCGACTGAGCTAGCCGGGCGGCTGCTGTAGGTGTTACTTCATGGTGATTACAGAGAGAGGTACTAATTATTCTGCTTAATTATTTTCGTAATTATCCTGCTAATTACGGGTTCTAGAAAATTGCGAACCCACGAGGAAGACCTGCATTAGGAAAAAGAATGCATCCCTATGGGAACAGCGGGGAACTGTCCGGAAGTGCTGCAGGGAGCGGGAAAAGATGGGAAAAACAGGAAAAAATGGGCAAAGCAGGACGTTTAGAAGTGGGAAAATTAAAAAGGAAAAATAAAGGAGGAAAGCGTAAAAGTTAAAGCCGTGTTTCTGCCCGGTTTCGAACCGGGGACCTTTCGCGTGTGAGGCGAACGTGATAACCACTACACTACAGAAACGCGCTGACAGTCGCCCAGCCCCATGGCAACATGAAGTAAAGATTCCGGGCTCCGGTGCGGGATTCGCAGATGCGGGCCGCTCCGGACCGATCCCGCGCCGGTTCCGGTGAGGACAGAGGGCGGCGGGTGACAAAATAAAGGGAAAATGTAAAATTGATGCTCCTGAAGTGGGACTCGAACCGTGATCATACGATTGAGAGCCGCGCGCTACCGACTGAGCCACCCGGAGACGGAGCAGTCGGAAGTCACGCCCCCTAGAGCGCCCACCCCGTTGCCTAGCGACAAGAGGGGCGCTTCCGGTCAAGTGCTGCGCGGAGGGGGGCGTGGCTTGCATTAAATAGGACGGAAGTTCCGGTCCGGTGGTACTGGAAACGGGGCGTGGCTTGCGGCAAAGGGGACGGAAAGCGGAAGTGCTGCCGTTGGTTGGCGGATTTCGTACCATAGAGGAACGACGGCGGCGGTGGGAGGGAGGGAGGTAGAGCGGCCCCCGGGGGGAGCGGCGAGGGGAGCGGCGAGGCCCGAGGAAGGAGCGGAGCCTGCGGGGGGTGTGGGGCCTCGAGGCGGGCCCCAGCGCTTCGCTGTGGGGCAGGAGAAAGGCTTCGGGGCAGGAGGAAGAGGGCCTCGGGGCCTCCCCATGGAGGCGGTGGGCGACGACGGGGCGTCGTCGGGGCGGCTGAACCCGGTGGAGACGCTGCAGGAGGAGGCGATCTGCGCCATCTGCCTGGACTACTTCGTGGAGCCGGTGTCGATCGGCTGCGGGCACAACTTCTGCCGGGTTTGCATCGCGCAGCTGTGGGGAGGAGGAGGAGAGGCCGAGCTGGAGGAGAGCAGCGGGGCCGCGGCGCTGGAGGAAGAGGAGGAGGAAGAACTGGAGGAGGAGGAGGAAGACGAGCTGGGGGAGGAAGAGCTGGACGTGGAGCAGGAGGAGGAGGAGGAGGATGGAGGCGGGGAGGAGGAGGAGGACGACATGTGGAGCGAGGAGGAGGAGGACGGAGAGCTGTGGGAAGGTATTGGGGGTCGGTTTGGGCCTGCCCTGTTGGGTGTCTTTGTGGATGGGGGAGGGAATGGGGGGGCACCCTCTGCCGGTTTGCAGATGATACCAAGCTGGGGGGATGCGTTGAAGGTGGGGGGGGCCCGAAAGAGGGGTCTGGACTGGGCTCGGTGGGCTGAGGGCAGTGGAGTGGAGTTCAGCAGGATCTGCACTGAGGTCACAGCAACCCCATGCAGCTGTACCTGGGGCAGAGTGGCTGAGAGCTGTGTGAGGGAAATGGGTTCGGGGCTGGATGTGAGCCTGCAAGAGGCCAAGGAGGCCCATGGCATCCTGGCTTCTGTCAGAAATAGAGCAGCTGATGGGAGAGGGAGGTGATTGTCCCTCTGTGCTGGTGCTGGTGAGGCCTCCCCTCAGTCCTGTTCCCAGTTCTGGGTCCCTTCTTGCTACAAGAGGCCCGGTGGGGATGGTGGGGGTTGGACTCGATGATTCCCGAGGTCTTTTCCAACCTTGATGATTCTGTGATCCTCAGACCCTGTGGAGGAGGAGCTGTGGGACGGAGGGGTGCAGGGAGAGCTCTACTTTGGGGACGATGATTACGATGAGGATGTGATGGAGGAGGATGTGGAGGAAGAGGAGGAGGAGGAGGACGAAGCTCAGAGCCCTCCGCCCCCCGTCCTGCCTGCCCGCCCTCGCCGCCTGCAGACCTTCACCTGCCCCCAGTGCCGCAAAACCTTTTTCCAGAGGAATTTCAGACCCAACCTTCAGTTGGCCAACATGGTGCAGATCATCCGGCAGCTCCACCCTCACCCGCAGCGCCTCGCGCCGCCCGCCGGCCCCTCAGCCTCGGGGGGTCCTGGGGGGAATCTGGGGATCCTGGTGGCAACGGGAGGTAGGGGGTGTCCGAATCTGTGCGAGAAGCACCAGGAACCCCTGAAGCTGTTCTGTGAGGTGGATGAGCAGGCGATCTGCGTGGTGTGCAGGGAGTCGCGGAGTCACAAGCATCACAGCGTTGTGCCCCTGGAGGAGGTGGTGCAGGATTATAAGGTGGGGTTTGGGGAAGGGTCACGGTGGGGATAATGGGTGAGGTGGGGTTTGGGGGAGGATTGCTTGGGGGAGGATTATAGTGAAGGAGGAGGGATTTGGGGGATGGGTTGTGGTGGGAGAGCGGAGGCTTAAAGGGAAAGTGAGGTTGGGGTTGAGCTAGGTGCGTCTTGCTGGGCTGGTTGGGTTGGAATCGTGGGAGGTTGGGAAACCATACGTGGCTGTGAGGAGGTGGAAGGGTCTGAGTACCCATTTTGTGACAAAAACCCACCTTCCCAGCACAGTTCCTCAGAGAAAGCAGAAGGGAAGTGGTGTGAAAGTTGGCTCTGAGGTTCCGTTTTCAGCTCTGCCACCAAATTAGGGACAAAATGAGGACAGAGGAGATTGCCCCTCCTCTGACAGGGTTTGTTGTTGAGTTGTGTTTCCTTCCCTCAGTACAAACTCCAGAGCCACTTGGAGCCACTGAAGAAGAAGCTGGATGCGGTGTTGAAGCAGAAGTCGAATGAGCAGGAGAAGATCACAGAGCTGAGGGTAAGAGCTGAAGGTTTCTGTGCTTCGTAGAATCGTACAGAAGAGTCATCAGGGTTGGAAAAGACCGCAGAGATCCACAAAGTTCCAGCCATCAGCACTGCTGGGAGTCTGTCCTGGTGGCTGAGCAGAGAGAGAAGCTTTGCTGCTGCTCTGAGCTCTCAGAGGCTTCGTATTCCCTTTCCTGCAATTATTGGGCTGCGAGGGCTTGGAAACGGTTTCCCAGTTGAATTAGAGCTTAACGAGAGAGCTGTGTGCCTCAGTGTTGGGTGGGAATTGGTGGTTTGGGAGCCGGTATCCCTCCTCTGAGTTGAGGATGCTTTACATCTCTAAACCCGTGCAGACTTTGCTCGGTTCTGGCCGTGGTGCGTTGGGGAGACGCACGACCTTGTGGTGCGTGATGAAACTGAGGGAAGCACAGCACAGCACCCCACAGAGGAGCTGATTTCTCAGCGCCCCCCTCTTGCAGCCATTCCCAGAATGCTTTTTCCTCCCTCTGCAGGAAAAGATGAAGTTGGAAATCAAAGAATTCGAGTCCGATTTCGAGGTGCTCCACCAGTTCCTCATCGGGGAGCACGTGCTGCTGCTGCACCAGCTGGAGGAGCGCTATGAGAGCTTGCTGGCCCGGCAGAGCAGCAACATCAGCCAGCTGGAGGAGCAGAGTGCAGCCCTCAGCCGCCTTATCGCAGAGGCAGAAGATAAGAGCAAACAGGATGGGCTGCAGCTGCTCAAGGTCTTCTTCCATCCCTTTCCTTGTCTTTATGGCAAGGCGATAGCACGATGATGGGAATAATGCTCCAGAGAGCTTCTGTGTCGCAAGAGAGCCTTTAGTTGGTGGGCTGGGTGTTTCCCCACCCCTCCTTGTGGTGGTTTTTGAGGGAAGATGGCAAGAGGAGGGGATGAGAGAGATTTAGGGTCTGCTTTAGTGAGGGAAGCCTCCAGCAGTGTGTGGGCTGTGCCTTTAGTGCTCTGTTCCCTGTGGGGAAGGGAATCGTCCTGGCTCAGGGCTGAGTTGTGGCTGATAAGAGGATTTATTGGGAGCAACGGTGGGATTGGCATCAGTCCTCCCTAATCCTTTCCTTCTCTTTCCCACCTTGCTGCCTCCTTCCCACAGGACATCAAAGGCACTTTTATCAGGTCAGTGACTTTGTTTGCATCTTTTCAGTGTAAATAACTGGTTTTTTTTAATGTCAAAAAAGCATTTGAGCTTTTTGTTTTAAATCCTGTGTGACCAGCACCGTAGGGGCCTGGTAATGCTGGGGAAAGCTGCGTCCTAACTATTGGGTGATGGAAACTTCTGCCTGATGGGGTGTAAATGGGATCTGGAGAAAAACTGGGGCCGTCTGGGAGAGGAGAAGGATGGGGAGGAGATCTTGGCCCTGATTTCAGGAAGCGTGGCTGTGCCCATGCAGAGCTCATGCCATAGCAAAGCTCCTCGGTCTGGAGAAAGGATTCTCCACATCTTGGCAGACAGGCAGTGCTGGGAGTTCTCAGCCACGATGGATGCACGTGGCTCTGTCTGCTGGGTGGGGGAGGCTGGCTGCACCAGTGCAACCAGTTTGGCCGATCCGTGCCCTGCTCTGGTTTTTCCAGAGCACATATAGGCTGCACGCAGGCCTCCTCTCTTCCTTTCTGCTGCTGAAATTCTCTGCTTTCCTTCTCCCCTCCAATGAAAGATGCGAGAACATCAAATTCCAGGAGCCTGAGATGGTGCTGGTGGATGTGGGGAAGAAATACCGCAACTATTTCCTGCAGGACGTGGTGATGAGGAAGATGGAGAAAGCCTTCAGCAAAGTCCCCCAGGGTGAGAAAGTCCTCTTCCTTCCACAGATCCTCCTACTCGGGATGGGGTTCCTCCCATGGATCCTTTCACTTGGGGTGGGATTTCCCTTCCAGCTCTGTGCTTCCAAGCTGTGCAGCCCTACGATCCTTTAGGAAAAGCAGCATCCCTCTGTTCTCCCCGTGCTTTTCCCCTTTTGCCTTGTCCTGGGTTTTCCTTTACTGTAGCTGCTGCATAGAACTGGGAGCGATGTGGATCTGGATTCACTGTAAACAAGGGTTGGGCGCCTCAAGCTCAGCACGGCGCAGATATGAGCCCAGATGAGGATTTAGGGCTGGGGTACAAGGGGGAAAAAAGTGCCGGGTGACCCCCAACCCCACTCTGCCTTCCCTGCAGCCGACATCACGCTGGACCCCGACACCGCGCACCCTCGCCTCAGCCTCTCCCTGGACCGCCGCAGCGTGAAGCTGGCAGAGCGGCGCCAGGAGCTCCCCGACAACCCCAAACGCTTCGACTCCGATTACTGCGTCCTGGGATCCCAGGGTTTCACCACAGGCCGCCACTACTGGGAGGTAGAAGTCGGGGGCAGGAAAGGTTGGGCGGTGGGGGCTGCACGCGAGACGGCTCGACGTAAAGAAAAAACCATGGGGCCTCATCAAAAAAGGGAGATCTGGTGCGTCGGCACCAACGGGAAGAAGTACCAAGCGCTGACGGCCACGGAGCAGATGGCTTTGTCACCCGGCGAGCGGCCGCGGCGCTTCGGTGTCTACCTGGACTATGAACGGGGTCAGCTTTGCTTCTACAACGCTGAGAGCATGACCCACATCCACACCTTCAACGCTTCCTTCCACGAGCGCATCTTCCCCTTTTTCCGAATCCTGGCTAAGGGCACTCGTATCAAAATCTGCACCTGATGGCCCTCTAGCTTCTGATTTTTCCCCTTTCCCCCTCAATCCCCCCCGCCTCATCCTTTGGGTCCCGCTTTGGGACCCGACGCTGCACTTGTTGTCTCGCACCTGCTTGCTCACAAGGCCTCTTCCCTCCTCTCCCCTGTCCCAGCCTCTGTCCTCGTCCCAGCTCTTCTCCGGGGTCGCGATCCCAGGCTGGTTTGGTTTGGAAAAGGGATCCAATCTCCTCGCTGGAGGTTTTCCCTTCAGCTCTTGGTGCTACGGGCTGCCCTCTGCCTTTCCCAGCCCTCTGCAGCGGCTTTGCAGCGTGCCGTTCCCTGTTCTGTTTAAAGCCCGCGGTCGAGCTTTGCGTCGTTTGCTCTTTGGTTGCAGAGCTCGAGCTGAGGAGCTGGCTCTGTACGTCCTGACCCCCGTCATCAGCTTTTCACTCAGGCGCACCAAGGAGCCTCGTTTCTTTTTATTTTCCAGTTCTGGGGCACCACCTTCTGCCCCCCCTCCCACCCAGCCGCCATCCGGACCTCAAACCTTCCACGTCCTCCTTGTTCTGCCGCTTTGCCCACCTTCCCCTTTTTGCTCCTCTTCCCCTCTCTGGGGGTCTCCAGCTCTCCCTCCGCCCCGTCGTTCCCTCGCCAACCATTTCTTGTGGGCCTGGCACTTTATTTAGGGCCACGTAGGCCGGGGAGGGTGCAAAAAATCAGGCAGCTTCCACCTCTGAGGCCGCTCAGAGCGCAGCGCCGCAGCGGTGGGAAGCAGCTTCGTTTCCCCTCGCAGCTTAAGAGCTCTCTGAGGTGGGGATATTTATTTTCTCTTCCCTTTTCTCAGCTGCTGTTGAATTTTCAGCTGAATCCTGTCCCACCAGAGAGACTCTGATCGCACCCTGTTGTGTTTTACTTCTTTTTGTTGGTGGATTGGTATTTTTTTTTTCCTGTTGGCGTTACAGAGCTAGTTCAAAATATTTTTGGCTAAAATAAGAATTAAATGGAGATCTAGTTTTTTGAAATGTCAAGAAATAATAATAATAATAAAGAATAAAGTTTTAAAGCTGAGCCTATTGCTTATTGAGAGCCCGCAGGGGACAGGAGTTGGTGCAGCCCCACCTGTTAACTCCTGCTGGTAAGATGTGACTTAAGCCTTGCATCATTTATCTTAAGTTAATGAGTTGTAATTGGGCTTGGGCTGTTTCCCTTCAGCACCTTGTGAAGGCATGGAGGCTGCTGGGTGAACCAAGCTCTGTGCTACCACTTCTTCTGCTCTCACAGCATCTTTAGTGCCTCTATTGGTGGTGGTTTCTTTTTGTCCATGGCTCTATTTCCCCAGGTCTGCACTCACTGTGGGCTGCTACTGCTCCACAAAGGGCTCAGGGAGACGTTTGAGTCCCTTCTTCCAAATGTGAGAGGAGAGCACCGATGTCCCCATCCTTACAGTTGTGGGCACTTGGTGCCAAGTCCAGAATGGGACATGAGGCAGCCGTGAGCTCAACAGAGCGCTCTTTTATTGAGGTTTGTGCATAAAATCTGTGTGCTGTTACCACGTCCTCATCTGGTTCCAATGGTGACTTGCCACACCCGGACGAGGTTATCTGTGTAGCCAGCAAACAGCGTCTGAGGAGAGAAATGGAGGAATTGGATCAGGAAGAGACAGAAACCAGCCTTCAGGGTACGAAGGTAAAGACCTCAGGAGGCAGCTCCCCAAGGCAGAGGTGCTGGTTGGAGCTGGGAGTTTTAAGGCTGCGAGGAGGAGGGGATGCTTCTACCTGCCCATCCGCAGACCACGCCAGAGAGGTGCACTGGGGTGGCTCAGCTTTGCTGCTGGTGCTGATCACCTCCTGCTTCAGCTCATCCACGATGATTTTGCCTTCCAGGTCCTGTGCAGGACAGAAGAGAGCGTGAGGGATTCAAGTTCCTGCAGAGAGATTGTTGTAGCCAAACCCAACCCTTCTAACTCACAAGAGGCAGCAGGGTGCTCAGAAACAGCCTCTGGGTTTCCCCACAGGGATGCAGTCAGATGGCATCGAAGTTTCATCACAGCAGAGCAGTGGCTGTGCCCCACAAATGCCCCACACCACCCTCTAGATGCAGGGGATGAGGACAGTGCCCCCAAGGTGACCCATCCCACGTGACCAAAAGGGCTTTGCACCACGAGATCGGTGGGGCAGGGCGAGGATTTCGACTGCAAAGCTGCCCCCAAACCCACAGGATTAAGAAAAGTGGTTCTCTGGGGGGAAAGGGGGCCGTCCCATACCCAGATCTTGATGCTGGGGCCGGTGGCAGCACAGAGCCAGTAGCGGTTGGGGCTGAAGCACAGCGCGTTGATGATGTCCCCTCCATCCAGAGTGTACAGGTGCTTGCCTTCGTTCAGGTCCCACAGCATGGCCTGGCCGTCCTGGGGGGCAGCAAAGAGGAATCACAGCAAACCATCAAACCCGTGGCTTTGTTCCAGTTGTCCCTCTAAAACCTTCCGGCACAGAAACAGCTCTCGGTTTGCGAGTGAGATGTGGGTGAGTTGTCACAGGATAACAAGAGGCACAGCACTGAGCTGTGAGGACACCAGAATAGGCTGCAGTTCAGCCTCAGTCTCCCCCCAGGGTGTACCTTGCCTCCAGAAGCACACAGGGAGCCATCAGGGGAGACGGTCACCGTGTTCAGATATCCTGTGTGGCCAATGTGGTTTGTCTTCAGTTTGCAGTTAGCCAAGTTCCAAACCTTGACGAGGGTACAAAGGTGACAGGGTCAGAAATACGGAGGAGAAAACAACCAACCCTCTCCTGATCACTGCTCAAATCCTCCCCAGGACGTCGCACAGACCCCAAAGGAGCCGCTCCTCTCACCTTCACCAACTTGTCCCAGCCACAGGAGACAATGATGGGGTTGCTGCTGTTGGGGGAGAAGCGCACGCAGGAAACCCATTCGGAGTGGCTCTCATCCTGAGGAGAGGAACAGCGTTGGGTTGAGAGCAACGAAAAGCATCCCCAGCCCGAGCTGCTGCATCCCACCGCTCCAAGAGCCCCTCATAATTGCAGGACGTGTCCTCAAACCCCCCAAAAAGAAAGGTCAGCAGGTCACCGTGTCACTTCTAATCATTAGGCCGGAGCTGGCAGCTGTGGATTATGGATCGAAACCAACACAGCGAGGAGAGAAACGTGGAAACGCGGCCTCAGAAACGAGCAGAAAGGGGGTTGTTTTCACAGCTCAGACCCGCTGCCTCACCTGCACCGTGTATTTGCAGACGCCCAAAGTGTTCCAGAGTTTGATGGTTTTGTCCCTGGAGCCCGAAACGATCTGGCGGTTGTCGGAGGAGAAGGCGACGCTCAGCACATCCTTGGTGTGGCCAACGAAGCGGCGCGTGGTGGTTCCTCTGCAGGGACACCAGGAGGGTCACACGGGAGGGACAAAGCTCAGCGAAGCACAATTAAATTAATTAAGCCTCCCGTCCATTGAGGAGATCCTGCTGCACTGCCTGAATTCTGAATGAAAAGCAAGATAAAACGGGGCAATCTGCGCTTTCCATGTGGGTTGAAGAGTGCTGGCTCCTTTCCTCCTTCCAAACAGGAATGCTAAAAGGTACCAAAGGTTTTGATATGGGATTGGAATAACCGTGAGGAGTTTAGGATATAAAACTCAGCTTCTATGGACACAGCAGTGTAAATGCTGAATGCTTTTGGAGGGCTGAGGTAGTTCTGCTTCCTGAGTTTCTTCTCCTCCAGCACACTAAAAATCGCAGTGAAAGAAGAGCTGGAGCTGCTCCAACCTCACTCCAAACTCTGCATCCCAAAATCACACTGAAAGAAAAGCCTGCTTGCTCCTGTCTGTACCCCACAGTGATGGTGAAGGAAGAACCAAACCCCCTGTGCTGCTCCACCTGCTCCTCTCCCATCATAATTGCAGGACGTGTCCTCAGATCCCGGAGGATCAGCACGCTGTGTCAGGTGTAATCACTGGGAGAGGGAGCTGAGGGAGGAATCGCTTCGGTCCTCCCTCCCAGCAGGATTTATCACCCAACCTAAGAGGAACTCACCTCATTTTCACGCTGCATCGCACACCTTTCACCCACCTCAACCCCCAAACAAAGCACAGAGCCCAGCTCTGCCCCAAACCCCTCCACCCCGAAGCCCTTTCTGTCCCCAGGACTCACGTGGTGAGGTCCCACAGCCTCAAGGTGCCATCCCACGAACCCGACAGCGCAAACTGCCCATCGGAGGAGATGACCACATCGCTGACAAAGTGTGAGTGGCCGCGCAGGGCGCGCTGCGGGATCCCATAGTTGGTCTCATCACGGGTCAGCTTCCACATGATGATGGTTTTGTCTGGAAGGGGGGAAAGGCAGCACCATCAGCTCCATCCCTTCTTATATTCCCGTCCTCACAGGGTTTTATTTCCCCCATAGCAATGTGAAGATAACACAGAGCACCCTTTCCTCTCAACCCTCCAACCCCTCCCTATGTTCTCATACACAGCAGCCTCCCCACCCTGCAGCTCCCTGTCCCCAAGCCCTGCACACCCCATCTCCCCCCTTTCTCGCACCCATGGTTCCCCCGCAGCCCCCTCTTCTACCACTGATGGTCTCCCCTTATTTCCCCTTCAGCTCCCCCGTAGGCCCCACAATTCCCTCCCCGCCCTGCAGCTCCCCGTCCCCAAGCCCTGCACCCTCCATCTCCCCCCTGCCATGGTTCCCCCATAGCCCCCTCCTCAAGCACTGTTGTCTTCCCTTATCCACTTTCATTGTCATCCCCCATAGGCCTCCCAGTCCCTCCTCTCACCCCCCCATTCGGACCAGGCCCGAACCCTTCAGGCGCGGCCCTCACCCCGCGACGCGGAGAGAATCATGTCCGGGAACTGCGGGGTGGTGGCGATTTGCGTCACCCACCCATTGTGGCCCTTCAGGGTACCGCGGAGGGTCATCTGCTCCGTCATGGCGGCGGCGGGACGGGAGGATGGCAGCGGATTCAATCGAGGGCCCGGCCCGATCCGCTCCTACCGCCTGCGATGACCGCCAGCGCGGAGAGAGAAAGAGGGCGGTGACTTCCGGCGGAAGCGGAAGTAGCCGCTGCGTTGTACGGCAAGGGGGTCAAGATGGCGGCGCCCGTAGAGGGGCACGCTGAATGAGGGAATGGGCTTTGGAGGCGGACAGGGAAGGCTTTTCTCTGCCGCAGCAGGGACACGAGGTGCGGGCAGGACAACTTCTTTAACATTTTCTATTATTTAGCCTTTCATATTTAATATTTTTATTATCCTTGTTGTGCCAGGACAGGGAAGAGCGGGGCGTGCAGCCTGTGCTCATCACCTGCAGCTGTCCTGCATCCCACAGCCAGCCCAGCTTTGTGATGCCCGAGCAGGATCTGACCCAGGAAGGCAAACAGGGAAGCACTGTGTCCTCCTCCCTTCCCCTTCCCTTCCTATCCCTCCCACGCTGCTGTCTGGGGGCTGTGACCCCTCCCCATTGCTCAGCACCCATTCCAGTGAGCAGTGGTTGATGGTGATGTTTACAAATTTTTGGCGTCCTTTTGTGTTCCGCCCCCATTTTGACTCATCAGCCTTTTTCTATCTGTCCTTATCAGCAGATCATTCTTATTATTAGATCTGTCTTTTTCCAGCAACAGTTTTGCATTTTCACCTTGGTTTTATCACCTAATATAAAACTTTTTGTCTCTATTTGATGATACTCACACAGATAAATCCCTAAAGCAGGAAATAATTCAGTCTTGGCCCTTTCTAAACCCATTTAGGCTCATATTTTTTGCAGTATTCAGCCAAGATGCCTCCAGAGCCAGGAATAACACATCTTGAAGTGCCAACGTGTCTTAAAATCCAGAAAATTGCCCCAAAACAGGCATGACTCATCAAGCACCGTAGTGGGAATGATTTGCTTGGATGACCCCGTAGGTAAGGGGCCATTTGTTGGACACCACCACGTCGTTTTTCACAGCCCTGTGAGCGCAGCTTCTTGAATTTCACTCCAGACGTTCCAGATTTGGAGACCTCAAATGGCAAAGGTGAAATGGGCGTCAGCTCTCCGGGATGAAGGAATCTCTCCCAGGGTTTTCT